TTAATTAATTACAAAAATAAAATTGATTTTGTCCCGAGATCGAGATCGCGAGTCGATATAATCGTCATTATCTCCGCACAGAAAAATCGTAGCAAGATGATCCTGGTCTCGTTGGAAAGCTAAGATTTCAGCGCTTCTAACGAGATAAGAATCGCTTATCTCGGATCATTAGTTTATGAGGCATTATTGATAAATTCCGAGAAAACTGATTTTGTCCCAAGATCGAGATTGTGAAATAATCTTTCGATTGGATGAATCTCTCTCACGTCGCGCATTAAATAGCAAACCTAATTTATGTTCACCCAATATTTATTTTTCTAAATATATGTAATTGCACGGTTTTTTGTTGATAATCCCCTCCTCGGGTACTACCTTGTCGTGGTGGAGGGGCTTGAGTACCCCGAAGAGTTACTCTCTAACAATCAATCAGTGCATTATCACTGAATCAGTGAATATTCACTGTTTTCAGTGATAATCCATTGATTGATTTTAGAGAGTACATACTCTAAAGACGGGACAACCAAAGGTACCCATTGCACTATTTAGGCCCGATTTTTCATTTTCTAATAAACTGTTGATCACGGTTTAATCGATTCTGTCCTTTCTTAAGCCCACTTTACACGATCTATAATTCGCAACAGAATTCGAGACAGAATTCTATTTTAAAATTTTTATGTATCGTGTAATACAGAAAACATTTGAACAATCAGAATTATAATTATAATGCTCCAATTTTGTAAATAGAAAAGATGCATCAAATATGTGTAGTGCATGAAAATGCGTGATTGATTAATTGTATCTGGTCTAATGAAAAACCTTAAGCATTGATTGCTGTGAGTATTTGTGTCCAATCGGCAGGGAAAACGGACCTCATCCATATGTAAATGTTATAACCTACAATAATCTAATCTACAAACATATGTCAATTTAATATATGAAATTATAAAATAAAATTCTATCTTGAATTCTGTCGCGAATTATAGATCGTGTAAAGTGGGCTTTAGATAATAATATAGAAAAGGATAGAGAATCGAGGAACTTGCATATTAACAGTTAACCAGAAAATGATAAACCAGCCTAACACTCTCTGAAAGTTAATCGGTGGATTATTACTGAAAATAACGAATCGATTCACTGTTTTCAGTGATAATCCACCGATTGACTTTTAGAGAGCACATTTTCGCAACTTTAAACGAATCGCAACCGTGCGCGGCGATTCATCGTATCGCGTCGCGTTCGGGAGTGCCGTTTGTGTAATTGGACTAAAGACTTTCAAAGTGTAAAATCGCGCGAACGATCTTTGTGTTTTCGCGAGTGTGCCAGAAGACAACCTGAGTGGAGGAGGAGGTCGAGGAAAGGCATCAGGCACCGGCGGAGCAACTTTAGGGTAAATATTTTTTTATTTCGTATAAAATTAATCTTCCTCTTGTTTATTTTTAATAATTTAAAAATTATTTTCTTTAATATTGGTTTTCTTGACTACTCTGTTCTAATGTGAATTTTATAATTGTATGTTACAGAAAACAACGAAGTTAAACTCCGCTGCTGCGCATCGGGTCGGTGAGTCGGAATCTTTTTTATTACGGCAACGAATATACATATACACACTGTAAAAAAATTACATGTTAAATTACAAATATCAAAGTGAGTAATGTTGGGACCATCTATTATTAAAAGTGTATATTTACATACGTCAGTAAATTTACTCCTTGTAATTAAAATTATTATATTTTATAATAATTTTAATTACAAGGAGTAAATTTACTGACGTATGTAAATATACATTATAATAAGTAAACTGCTTGCTTTTGATTGTGTAAATTTTATATTTTTTGGTAATTTTTCATCATGTATAAACGAGTATTTACACAACAAAGTGTAAAAATTTTTTTGTTGCAAAAGTATATACATTTATATATTTCCCTTATTAAAGTGTAATCGCTATAATACTTATTATGTATGTAATTTTACATACTTTTTTACAGTGCATTTTGTAGTTCATAGATTGTAGATCGTAAATTATCTTGTATATTCGTTGCCTTAAAATGGATAGGTTTCAAATGATAATGGCAAGTAAATGAAATATGGCGAATATTAATGATGTATTCGAGCTAATCTCTTGTAGCCTATTCATTTTCATTAATGATTGATGTAGAAAGTAAAATAATATGACGTGAGATTCTAATATATTTTGTCAAAAACCCTGAAATTTTAACTTATTTAAATATTTTATTTGCGGTTATTAATTTATTATAATATGCAATTATAATATCGGTTGGAATCGTGAAAGAAGTTTCGTTTTTCTGGATCTCACATCATTTATTCTTTGTATGTGTGTATGTACCTATGTGATATACGTACTTTCAAGATGCGTCTCGCATGAATACATGCATAGTCGCACGCATCTTTGTATTTTCGCGGTCGGTTTTCGCGATCGGTTTTTCAGGAAAAATGTTCAATTAATTATTAATTAAGTATTTAATTTTATCCGTATTATAAATTTAAATTTATCGAGGAATATGATTAAAATCACTCTAACGCGAAGTAAATTTTTTTCTATATCATACGTGAATTTCGAATTCAAAGATAAGTTACGAAGAGATGATCAATATTTTTGAACAAATAACGGAAGTAAAAATAAACTTGATTCGTATATACAGTAAAGTTTTTTTAATTAATATTCTTCTTTGATTAACCTCTTGTGGTCATGCATTTTGCGATACGATCGACACTCGTATATTCGAACCGTACGAAATATTTGTCGGTGACAATAACTGACTATGGAAGGAGCTTTCTTCCTTCCTGATCTCTGGTCAAAATGACCAGATTGTATGGCCGGGAGCAACGAAAGGTATGTCCAATCTGGCCCAACGAAGGACTAAATACGTCGAGGTAAGTGGTCAATATTGGCCACTCTGATGGAGTACCTAAGTAAGGTGCTGTACGAAGTATAGTTTGTATACTTTGATTTCTTTTGAGTTGTCACAATTCGGGTGGGTTATGCTTCTATATACATATATTCTCGCATATGTGCGAGAGTGAAACCCCTATTAAATCCCGCGAGCGCGTTAAACCCCAAGTCACACCCCTCGAAAATCGCGTCGCGGTTAATTAAAGGTTTATTATGTTGAAACACGGGTAGGTAGAAATTGGATAAGTAGGTCTATAGATCGGAATACGGGTAGGTAGGAATTCGGATAGTCAGGGATAGTGGGACATGATTCGATAGTTTAAAAAATTGCATATATGTATAACGTCGAGAGAAATATTGTGTGTATTGTACAGATATTTTAATTTTAAATTTATAATGTCATTATTTCTTTTATAATATTGTATGTGTATTGTAAAGTAAGTTATAAGAAAAATGAAATAAATAATAAAAATGTAAGAAATCAAATTATAAAGAAAAGAGGACCGTCGATTAAACGCGGCGGGGGTGGTGGAGGGCCTCATATTTTTGCAATGCACTTTCAATGTAAACACAGTACCGTGCAATTAGTGATATGTAACATCGACGTTACATTAGCATTTATTCTATACTCAATATTACAATTTTATTGGGCAATCTTGCTAATACAATCAATCCAATATTAAATAAGCGTCTAGGTACAATATTAGTAGTATATTTGCATTTATTTTATGACCAATATTGATGTTATATTGGGGACATATTGGCCAATTCACTACCAACATAATCAATGTTTAACCAATGTTAGCCAATGTACATCCAATGAATTGTGCTTCTAGGGAGGCGCTTATACGCAAAGGCAAGGCCTAAGCGATTAAGTGAAGGTTTAAAAAATATATAAAGTAACTATTAATGTAACTATTAAATTAGTTATTAGTTATCGAAAAAATGTAACTGACTTAAGTTACAGTTACAGATGGAGAAAAAGTAACAAAGTTAAGTTAAAGTTGCCAAAAAGAAGTAACTGTAACTGTAACTTCGTTACAAGTAACAAGTTACTTCCCAACCCTGAGAATATATAATAAAATAAAGGTCCATTTTCGTTCCTCGCACCAGTATGCGTCAGACTAATCGTATCTTTAGAGACCTTTACCGGCTTATCTTTACTTCCTTGTAAATTATCGAAAATATTTCAAATTCTTACCATTTGTTAAGTTATAGACTTTCTGTCGGTAGCTCGGATAATTCTCCGAGTTAAATTGACCGTGAGAAAAAGATAAAAATGCAATTAGAAGATAAGTAATCTCCTGCATTGTAGGAAGTTTAGTTCATCTGTAAGTGAGGAAAACTTTATGAAGTGGTACTTTATTACATTGTGTGATGGAAACAATATTATCTTTGAGGTGGAAAACCGATATATGAATTCACACATATTAGATTAAAATTACTGGGCTACCTCTTGCTCGGACCAAAAAGGTGTTTTCGTATTCCATATAATATTTTCTTTCTAATAAAATAATATCTTTAAAAAAACTGGATACTGTATACGAAGTTTCCATCTTGCAAGCGTTAATATTATAAAAATATGATTCGTATGAAATTACCGTAGGAGCAATTTTTATTAATCGCGTTTAAAATATTACGTGTGATAGAAAGAAAATGCCAAACGATACAACGAGAGTGAGTTACTTACTTCGCTGTCGAAGGTTTGAGGATCTCGTAACACCGAGATGATACCACAGTCTGTATCCTTTGAAGGTTTACAGAGTTATGACATTAAAAAATGCATATAATGAGTTTTAATATATACGTAGTTGTGGATGTATTGGATAAATATTGGATATGATATTGGCAAGTCAACAACCGGTTTCCAATTGAATAAATTCAAAGAAAACTCTGTAAGCATTCAGTTCAATGTGCAATTAAGTTTTACGTAGCACATGCGCCGTTATATCTTAACAGATAATTCTGTTATTGCCTCAAGAGATATCCCGAATATACACGTGATCGAGACATTACGTTAAACATAATGAAAGTTAGTAACAATGCGCGGCTGCCATTTTTTTACGTTCTAAAGAGAAAAGACAGGGTATTCTGCGCGGGATATTAGCTTTATTATCAGTCCATTTGTCAGAATACAGTTGACGATGCCTGTTCATTTTTTTAAATTACATTTGTGGGAATGCAACGTTTACAGATAATCTACAACGGTAGATGTTCTCAGGGCCGCAAGAAGACCAGCTTCAATACCGTTTGCCACTTGTCTCAATATTAGCTCACTCTACAATACGTTTTATGTACAAAGCATACAGCAAGCAGATGAAAGTAATTAGTTTTAGATCGTGGGTGTTTAAGCGGAGAAATTTCGAACGTCGTGTGTGAAGCACATAAAGTAAATAAAGAATTGGCTACATCGACACGTGTACGCCAATCTGTTCGAGTATTCGGAAGAAAAGCGTAAGATATGTGGAGATTCAGTTGCATTGTCCAAATATCATTATTTTAATTTAGGCTGACAATTCCGGCACAAGTCTAATTGATAAGACCAATGACATTTTCCTGGTTCATTTGTTCAAGGTTTGGCAATCCAAGATCCTCTGCGCTTCAATCTGCGTGATAGATAAATCAAATTTAATAGACCGTCAGTGACAATGCATATCGCTCTCAGAATTAGTCTAATAATTATTTGCCGTAATAAATACTTTGCAATACGTGAATGAATGTTGTATTTTGAATATCGCGTAATAATTTACGGTCGGCAACGTTACATGAAAATATGCGATAAAGTAAAATTAGTATAATCAAGAATTGCGCGAGGAGATTGCGTTTTTTAAATACAATAACAACTTTTCATGGTTTATTAAATTTTTTAATTAACTCCGCGGCTTCACAGTTCATACCTGAATAAACGAATATAATTTTAACAATTGTTCCAACGATGCACCTTGCGACGAACAATCCGTGCTACTTGATTTAATTCGCATATCTTGGCTCCTTTTACCTTGGCCCCATCCAGTAGAAAAGTTTAACTGAGCTTCACCACTCGCAATAAGGATTAAGAAAAGAAATGCTATAGCGAATAAGCCCACATGCATCTTACAGAACCTTAAAGAAATGTGTGTTACGTACATATTGTATTACTATGAATATCAATTATTGTGCCTCTGTATAAAAACATCGATATAAAAATACCGCGGCTCTCAGAAACATCGTGATGATTTGAATTTATAATATAAATGATCAATATTTATTTGTAAATATTTATTATTTACATTAAGTAATAAATATTTATATTATATCGTAATAATAAAATATTTTGAATATTTATACAGCTGACACCGTGGACGTGTTGTAATGAATATGCATGAGGCAGCATGCGTATATAAAACATATTCCAAACTAAAAAATATTTCTCGAAAGAAATCCGCAAATACGTTCATAATAATGCAACCAAATGTACAAATGATAGACTACGTGCACATTTTTATAACGAGGAAAAATTAATTAATTCTCTGTATCGTAGAAAAAGTGTCTTCGAAGAGTTGTTCATAAATTCACAAATTTTTAGCAGAGACACGTGATGAAAACTCGATCGTCAATAAAATAAAAATATGCTCTGTGGTCTCTTTTTTTTTTCTGTATCAATAACTGCGTTCGTTTCAAGCACTTTATTCGCGTGTCGAGCAGAACGTCAGTTCGTCGCAAACATTGCGAGCAGGTTTGATTGTTTGTAACGAGAGCCGCACTATTTCCATGGAAAATGAACAGCAAGTGAGAGAAAGAAAGGGGAAAAGAGAAACTCACATGGCAACACTTTCTTTTACGGATAGATGTACAGAATGGTATATTTTTCGTTAGAGATAACGTACGCAATACCGATGTGCAACAGACCTCGTTTACGTTTAAAAGGCCTCTAAGATGCGATTGCTGTTTATATACTGGACCCCTTGCTGCAACGCGCGCGCACATTACAACATCTCGATAGATTCGATCGCCCTTCCAAGAGGGATAATGAAATCTCTGCGCCGGCGTTAGGCGTTTCGTCTCGCGAGCCGTCCCGGAGATCATTTCTCGCGCGATCGCGAGACGGAAGTTGAAACGCCAATTGTGAGATGTAAGAGAGATTATGAACGACACGTTGCACGCAGATAAATTTGGAGATATACAATTCACTCTTTATAATTTTGGGCGATTGCGACCGTATCACCTCGCAGCTATTGATCGTTTTCTGTTTGCACACGCGTATGCCGTAATTAGTATATATTTAACAAATAACGTCGATGAAATTGCGGATTCTGTCATGTCGCGGCTTCATTAAAATGAATATTGGATATTTATTTGCTGTATTAGTGACGTCAGGTTGTGAAATTATGCAATTTTGATATGCCAGCTCTTTTTGTCTTCTGCAACAAGGAAAGTAATGATCCAACATAAAACAATGATAAAATGAATTAAAGGAGAATTTTTTATATAATATGGCACTTTGTTTTAGACAGCATCAGTTTTGAGAGTTGAAAAATTAATAAGAGACTTTGTTACAGAGTGGGAAGAAGGGGTTCGTCGCTGTTTATTTCATCCTTATTATTTTTCCCTCGATTAAAAGGAGAAAAAAGATAAGAGAAGCAAAAATTTCGGCGAACCTGATTTGCAATTCGCACACATTTGCGATATAATCCTTAGTATATTAATCAGATAGATTATCAGTGATAAAAAAATGTCTCGATATTATTTCAAAATGTTCAAACTTGATGCAATCAAAGCGCAAGCTATTTATACATTGTTTCACACCGCGTGATCAAAAGAGAGAAAATGACATCCATCAAAGTAAAATTAATCAAGTTCATGAATGATTCTTTCAAATTTCTTAATTGGGTATCAAAAACCATCGTGACAACAATTATTGAGCTACACACCTGTACAAATAAAGAGAAAGGGCATTTCAATTTTGCACGTTTCGCATTAACTTTACGGTAGGAGAAAAAAGGAGAACGATACAAATTTTGGTGCAATAGCGCGTCTTATTTTCACGGAAATGACGTCTATTTCTGTTTAAAATTATTTCGGCACGCAAATATCGTCATTGTGACGCTTACGTCCAAAGAAGCAAACTGTTTTGCTTGCGTCATTCGTTGCCAAATTAAATTAGCGCGTGCGACCGTGACACCCGAAGGCTTCCGACTAATTTGCTAACAAGAGACATGGCAGGATGCGAAGCCTCATCGATTACTTCATCAATCAATGACATTACATATCTAACAGAGTGTGTTGAATACGTGACGGTATCGCAGCGCGATCGTACGTGTCGTAATGTTCCGAAATTGCAATTCTTAAGAGATCTTCCTTTTGTGAGAATGCACGACATTAACGGAACGATTAAAGTAAAGGAAACGTATATGTATATTCGAATTTTACTTTATTGCTACAAAAAAGAAATTACACATAACGTTTTTCGAGCTAAAGGTGGATCGAAGATAAAGGATAATGGTGCGCTCATGCGTTGCCGTCGATTATCACATATTAAATGGTTCACGATAGTTCTTATTTTTCTAAATAATGTACAAGCTTGCGTACGCGCGCGCGCGCGCACATTATGTTTGTCGAGTGTGTGTGTATATATATATATATATTCTTGTATCTAATTATTTGAGTTTTTTTACAATATGTTTTTATTAAAGTGTAGAGTAATACAATAGTAAAAACCCAATTAGTTATTAAGATCGCGTGTCAAAAAATGCATGATCTTCCTTTATCTTAAAGGCAGTGTCGAGTAAACATTTATCAACAGCATTTACGAACTCTTAATACTCTATGATCTATTGTTCATCCCTGTGAATAACAGAAATGACAGTTTTACAGATGTATGAAACTGGTGAGGAATGATAATGTTAACTCTTATTTTCCCTTTTTTACAATGAAGTGACGATTATACAAATTTCATCTGGGCAAGTCTCTTCGAGGATCTTTTAACGAGTGAGTAAGAAAAAAAACGTTTTCCCCGCAGAAAAAATTAGAAAATTCTTATGCTCCTGTATACATGAGCTAATCTCGTTAACGGAATAATTAAAGAAAATCGAGCAATACTTAGCGTTAGTTGTATGCCCGACGGATTAATCTATTACAATTATTATACACTAATCTTTATCATATATAAACTTTATATTGAAGTAACATCTTTGAACAACGCTTGCCAAATATCGCCTCAATGTAAAAAGGAAGTGTACAGCACGGCAGTGCGCAAGAGTTAAATTTTCACATAGATAATCCTTATTGTATGGGTCTGTTGTATTTTGTCCATCTGTCGTCTGAATCGTTGTTCAATGGCAAGCCCTTAAATAGCTCGTAGACATTCCTAGAGGAACGTTCTGCAAAATCTGCTCCTCAACTCTTGAGATCACACGCGTCCGCCTAAAATTACCTTTCTTATCATATACATGTACGTTATACCTACACGAGTTGGATTTCACGATATGTATTAAGACTGCGCGGTACGTTGAGTTCTTTCCAACATTCAGTCAACAAAAGCAAATACTTATATCTACTACCGGCATTTCCTATAACCATCAAATTATATTTGATTGTGATTGCTTTTATGCTACGAGCAATTTTACATTTTAAGTATAAACACGCGATTTAACATTTCTCGGTTACTCGCGCGCTCTCGCACAGATTGAATTAATTATTAGAAATTTACCGAATATAATTATACATATATACAGATCTTGTCATATGATTCTGAAGAATTAGAGAATACTTTTAAAGGACGTCATAATACTTATTTTACTACAATTTTGCATGCTCACGACACGTATCAAAATATATTCGACAAACGGTTTCTTCATTGTATTTATCTTCTCATGAGTTATAAAAAATGGTGAAGATCTAAAAGGCGCACGAATAACCGAGGAATATTTGTCAAGTACGTCTCAACGTAACCACATGCAGGTAATACATATGTCACCTTTATTGTATAAGAACCTAAAACTAAGAGCATCCATTTACACACAAATACTTATCAACCGCAAGAAGAAACAGTGAAAATGACGATGTTATGAATTAGTACTATGATTAGTATTACAATGGTTAGTCAATGAGGAACAAAAAGAACAAATATGACGAAGAGATGTGCTATGTCGTTCCGATGCTATTTGCGTGATCCTACACCGGTACGAGTTATTATTTGCGAAATGAGGAGAAAGATCAACATCCAAAGCGCGCTATGGCACTCGATCTTCATGCATTCCCTTACGAAAAAGTAACGAAATAATTACTAGAAAATTACTATACATACGAGGCTTGTCCGTAAACTAATTGTAAGTATCGTTTAGGGAAAAAACACATCAAAACATTTTTTT